TTTGGGGTCGCTAATTTCGAATCCGAAGTCAGATTTACAAAATTCAAAATGGCGGATCCAATATGGCGAAACAAAATTACAAAAAGATCTGTTTTTCATGCAATTCGGTACCCTAATGTTTTTTGGGTCTTTGAATCCGAATATGACATAAAAATTTTAAAATGGGGGATTGAATATGGCGCTTTCAAATAAAAAGTGTATCCATACTAAATCGCAGAAATTTTAATCACAGATATAATTAAACATTTTGAATAGATTCATTCTAATGTTAAATTTCCACTCAGAGATCTAAATAACTGCAAATTAATAGAGATAAAATTCTGTCTATTTTTTATTTTTGTAAATCTAACCTTTTTGTAATTTTTATCCACCATATTGGAAACGGCATTTTGAATTTTGAAAATCTGACATCGGATTCGTAATCAGCGACCCCAAAAACCCCCCGAGTAACAAGTTTCAAGCAAATCCAGACCTTTTTTATAATTTTGATCCGCCATATTGGATCCGCCATTTTGAATTTAGAAAATCTGACATCATATTTGGAATTACAGACCCAAAAAACATAAGAATACATGCTTTCAAAATAATCCGTTGAACTTTTTTTCAACACACTTTTGGCCCAAATAGTGAAATTCTCGTAAACAGCCAAGGGATTAATTGATATTGTTATATAAAATATGTTTATATATGTACATATTCTATGTAAAATTTTTATAACAATAAAACAGGGAAAAGAAGTAACTTGTTACTTGTAATGTACAGTTACAAGTTACTTTTTTTGGTAACTTTACTTGGAACTGCGTTACTTTTTTTTGTAACTGTAACGGTAATGTATATAGCTACATTTTTTGGATAACGGTAATAAAATTTACAGTTACTTTTATCGTTACTTTGTACACGATTGGACACATTATATAATAGTTACATATTATTAATTATGACAGCTATAAATGTGGTTGGAGGACATTATGTGTTTTTACTTAATACAGGCATACAAGTTACATTTAGGTTACCTTATTCTAAACATCGTACACATTTTGCTCTAATTGAACTGTGTACAAAGCTTTACTCTGTACATTTCTGTGTACCTTTATGTTAAGCAATTATTGGAAAACACCTCTTTTTGCAAAACTTCTGTTATATATTTTAATTATAACGTTATAATTTTTTTTCTATCAAAATATTTGATTTATAGTTAAAGTATAGATTGAGTAAAAATGTAGCTGTATTATAATAAAGAGATTATGTGTATTTCTTAATTTCCTTTCTAATTTCTAACTTATATTGTGACTCAGTTAGTCCTATACAATCCTCTCTCTATATAATCTCTCTAGTTTTCTACAAAATATAAAAAAATTCTTGAAATATTTTAGCTGTCAACTGCGGTAGCGATCCTAAACTGATCTTTGACAGCTGAGAAATATATACATTACCATTATTTCAGGAATTATTTTGCACTTCTATCTTTTATGTAATATATCAGATATATGTATATCTCAGTTTGCTGCATTTTTTACAGTTTTTAGAATTATGAAATTATGTTTAAAACAAAAACTAAAAATAAAACTATACATATAGTGTCAATGTTTCATATATATTGCTTTTACTAACGTTTAAACAAAGAATACTGCAAAAGTACATTTTCAGATTTTTCACTGATTTTAAAAAAGTAACGGAAAAGTAACGAAAAGTTACTTTTTCGAGTAACTGTAACGAGTTACTTTTAAAAACGATAACCAGTACCGGTAACTCGTTACTTTTTTACTCGGTAACGAGTAATTGTAACTTGTTGCTTACCATTCCCTGTAATAAAATTTTTTTTCCCGGATTATTATTGTGTGTAAAATTGTCTTATTTTATTTTTGTTCACACATTGCAGATAGTAAAGAATACAAACATATATCTCAAGCAATAAATGAATTTAAAGAGCGTACATGTATGGTAATTAAATATAGGACTAACGAAAAAAACTACGTTAAAATCACAAGCGATTACACTGGATGCTGGAGCGAAATTGGCAGAATAGGCGGTGAACAAAAACTGAATTTACAGATTCCTGAATGTTTAGGAAAAGGTGTTATCATGCACCAATTTATGCATACTGCTGGTTTTACTCACGAGCACACCAGACTAGACAGAGATAATTATGTAAATATCAATTGGGAAAATGTTCAAGAAGGTAATGTCAAGAATTTGTAATTTTTTCGAACAAAAAAATTAAAATAAAAATTTATTTTCTTAAATAAGTATTTAATCATCTAATTGTAAGTACATATTCTTATCTTAATGCAGCTATAACTTTGCATTAATTTATTAATAAAAGTGTCTAGATATTTTTAAATTATCATATTTTATCTGTATATATAAATCTCTGTAATTTATATCTTTTTATGAGAATATTTTTATTGTTTTAGAATTGTTAATGTTTTAACATTAAATGAATGACTCTTTATGTAAAAATAACACCTTGTTCACAATATAGGCTTGTAATAATTGATTGAAATTATTGATCTACGTTATAAACTACTTTTTCTTATTGTTTTTATATTATGCATTCTCAGATGCCAAAAGGAAGCTCGAGAAAGCTGAGCTGAAGACTATTAATGATTTTGATCTGCCTTATGATTATGACAGCATAATGCATTATTCAGCGTACGTGGGTGCCGTAAACAATCACGTAAAAACTATTATCCCCCTAAAAGTAAGCAATAATTATTTTTATAAACATTTTAATATGACTAGTGTGTGTCTGTCGTTAATTTTATTATTAAAATATTTTAATTATTGGATAGAGCTAGACAGCTATCGATTCTTTGAAACATTATAAAAAAATTTTATACATTTGCTTGTGTTATGAGTATTACATTGAATTGTACAGTTAGAAATTATGGACTAACAAAATTAGAATGCTTTTTTATTTTACCCGCTTATAATTGCAGGAATATTTTTTAAAAACTAATTTTTAGGGAAAACTTTATAAGCTTTCACGTTAGATAGTCGAAAATTTCGTAACAAATATATTCTCTATATAATTGTGAATTACATAACAGAATAGCAGCACTTTGTGAACAACTTAATATTATTACGTATAAATAAAAATAATTTTTGTAATGACATTAAGATCTTATTGTTAATATTTTCAGGATCAAAACGCAGAAATAGGCCAGAGAAAGCGCCTTAGTGATTTAGACATTATGAAAATTAATTTAATGTTCAATTGCTCATCAATGTCATACTGCAGTATTATATAGAAATCACCCTGGTTATTATTGAAATTCGAAATAATTCTTATTAATTTTGCGATGTTGATAACATATACATAAAAAATTAATCTTAACAGCAATTTTCATGACACACATACTAATTGTAAATTTAAAAACTTGGAGTTTAATATAAAAATTAAGTGCTATCACTGTCCAATACTATTTTGGAGTATGAATACTTTGTTTGGTAATTATTCAGAATAGGGGAGGCAGCACCGATGACCTTGGTTTTGACATATGTTGTTAAGGTCATGACCTTGAGTAACCTCCAACAGGTTTTAGTCATTGCTCGTCCTTCGTTAAGAACAAAAAAGTTCAACTATACAACACTAAAGTTTCCTGCTTTAAAATATCAAGGTAATAAAGAATCATTCAGGATTATAACTTTGACAACATATGTCTAAGTCAAAGTCATCGAGACTGAATTTCTTACAGCAAACAATTAGCGAATACTTTTATTTTTAGAGTAGAGAATTCTTGTGTTATATATGTAGTTGAATTTTTTCCACACGCGAAGTGAGAGCTACGTCACACCAAAAAATGGTTGGTTAATAGAAGTGGTGCCCCCCCACAGGAGAGGTGAAACCTACTGCATTCACGCGAAGCGATTGTCACCCCATCTCTTCTTCTGCGAAGAAACTCGCAACTTCCATGTCGCTTTATGCTGTAAAGCGTGAATACAGTAGGTTCCGTCTCACCTGAGGGTTCCACTACTGTTAAAAATAAACAACCCATTTGTTGGTGTAAGGTAGCTCTCATTTTGCGTGGAAAGTCTAAACTCACGTACAACAGTACAATTGTAAATTGTACTATTACTTGTTAATAAGAGTTGTGTTTGTTTACATTTTGGAGTTATATTAATTATACACTATTAGTATATGTTGGAACATAGCTACTGTAAGAGTGTTACTGTTATTATACATACAATCATGTTGTTTCATGAATTCATTTATCGTATAACTATAACAATTTAATGAATTATTTAAGTGCGAAGGGGTAACCACTATCTGAAATATTGTCCCACAGATTACATGATTTTATTTAATTTTATATAATTTTATTTAATGACAAATAATTTTTCCTCACTATATGCGGTCAGTTGGTAAAATTAACGATTTTATCTAATATTACACAATTATTTCTTGTAATTGTCGGATTATATATCGAAATTTTATATAATTTTTATAATGATTTCTCAGGGACTCCGTCCCACGATTACATTAAGTGATTACTTCTCGTTTAAGTGCTAAAGCATTGCTTTGAAAGCGCATTATATTTGTCCACGGTGTACTATAAAGAGATCCAATTATCATATAACTAGACAATTCACTTATAATGCATTGTACTAATACGTATTATAAACAAAATACGTGAACGAAAACGAAGAGATCCAATTATCATATAACCAGACAATTCACTTATAATGCATTGTACTAATACGTATTATAAACAAAATACGTGAACGAAAAGGCAAAGAGAGACATGTAATTTTAAATTAAACGCATTAACAAATACATATGTTAGTAGCTTATTTCTATTCAATTAATAAAATTACTGAAGAAAATAGTAATTAAGTTTATTACAAATTTCAAATAAATGTTATTTTCGAAACTGTTAATTTTGAAACCTTTTTGTTCATAACTTTTTAACGAAGGACGAGTGACAACTAAAACCTGTTGGAGGTTACTCAAGGTCATGACCTTGACAACATATATCAAGGTCATGGTCATTGGTGCTGTGACTTCCCTATACTGAATAATTATCGTTTTTGCAATGTATATTTTTGCTTGCTGAATCTGTTGTCCAAATCTAACTGTTACATCACAATATTGATAAAAATAAAGTAAAAAAAGTATTAAAGTATAAAATGATAATTTTGATAGTTTTCACAACGTGGTAGCACCAGCAGTAAATTTTATTTTTAAATTTTGTTTATATCATGCAAAAGTATTAAGTTTTATCTTTAAAATGTATTTTGGCTGGTTTCGATATAATTTTTCGTTTTTGAAATAGATACATATTAATTTGAATATAACTCTTTTCCCGTATATAATAATAATGTAATAATAATAATAATTACGTATTAAGGCAGAGATATTTTTAAATTAAGGTGATGCTGGACCCGCCTGTATTATCGATAAAACAAGCGTTTTTGACGTTTTCGTTCCTGTCGAACCTCTTCGCAGTAGTTTCACAGAATAAAAATTCCTTCTCCACGATTAAAATATCCGAGCTAATATACGTGCCCCTGGTGTATATTGTGTCCAAAGCTGGAAAAAGTATGAAATTACAGATTTCTTTATCCATTTTTATCTTCAGCGTTGGTCGCCATATTGAGGTTAAATGGATAAAGAAATCTATGATTTCATACCTTTTCTAGCTTTGGACACATAAAAGACATCAGGGGTACGTATATTAGCTCGGATATTTTAATCGTGGAGAAGGAATTTTTATTCTGTGAAACTAAGAGGTTCGACAGGAACGAAAACGCTTGTTTTATCGATAATACAGGCGGGTCCAACATATATCACGTTAAGGTGATGCTGGACCCGCCTGTTTTATCATTACTTACTTATAGTTAAAGACTCGTTTCTCTTAATTGCATTTATGGATGGAAAAATCCTTCTGCATAATTAAAGTATCGACAACAATGAATTGCGCTAGCTACATTTCAATACGAAAAACGGGGAAAAAATTTACAGTTTCGTTATCGAAAATCACAGAAGTCAATAACGAAACTGTAAGTTTTTAATTTTCTTCCGTTTTTCGTATTGAAATGTAGCTAGGGCAATTCATTGTCGTCGATACTTTAATTATGCAGAAGGATTTTTCCATCCGTAAATGCAATTAAGAGAAACGAGTCTTTAACTAAGTAATGATAAAACAGGACCTCCAGCATCCCCTTAAGGAGATGCTGGAGTGCCTGTTTTATCATTACTTACAAGGAGAGGCTACGCTCTGCTCTTCACCGATTTTGATCAAACTTGCAGCGATATTAGAGGAGCCTATCAAATGAACACCTGTAAAGCCGTTCGCTCCATTGGGCCTTAGAAGCCGAGTAATGATGATTCAAAAATATACCAAAAATCAGGAAAACGGTCTAATATCTCGGAAAGTATGCATTTTTGAGAAAAATGTCTTAAACAAAAGTGATAGAGTTTATTCAGATGTATATACTAGTCTTATATGTTTGACCTTGGGCGGCACCGTGACTTTGACTTGACCTTGACGGTGCCGCCCAAGGTCAAACCTATAAGACTAGTATATACATCTGAATAAACCCTATCACTTTTGTTTCATTTGATAGGCTCCTCTAACATCGCTGCAAGTTTGATCAAAATCGGTGAAGAGCAGAGCGTAGCCTCTCCTTGTTAATTAAAGACTCGTTTCTCTTAATTGCATTTACGGATGGAAAAATCCTTCTGCATAATTAAAGTATCGACAACAATGAATTGCGCTAGCTACATTTCAATACGAAAAACGGAAGAAAATTAAAAATTTACAGCTTCGTTATCGGCTTCTGCAGTCGACTCGACACATTATGTGAGAAGCCGATAACAAAACTGTAAATTTTTTTTCCGTCTTTCGTATTGAAATGTAGCTAGCGCAATTCATTGTTGTCGATACTTTAATTATGCAGAAGGATTTTTCCATCCGTAAATGTAATTAAGAGAAACGAGTCTTTAACTAAGTAAGTAATGATAAAACAGGCGGGTCCAGCATCACCTTAATACATATCTGAAAAATAAAAATGATATTGTAACAAATATATATATGCATTTTAAAGCTAAAAGTTTATACTTGTTCGTGATATGAATGAAATTAAGAAGTAAAATTTGCTACCAGTACTGCAATGTTATAAAGATAAGAAATATAATATTTTGCATCTTTAATGCAATTTTGCTTAAAAATGCGAACTAATAATCAAATTTAACTAATGGATTTGTGTTTAGCAAAAGCATAAATACATAGAAAAATGATTGTACATATTCGTGATATGAAAAAGGTAGAATTTTGTTACCTAGTGTAATTAGCATTTATGTTATATGGTTATACATTATACATTATAGTGTTAATAAATAAAAACTGAATGAATATTGTTTTGTGACATTTGTAGTTTACCAGAGTGAGAACTTATATTGCATATACATTAATCTTAAAGTTATACATATAAAATGCACAAGTATATATTCTTTATGGGACTTTTTTTATTGAACATTTTTTTTTATTAAACCTTTCCTAATCATACATTTTGTCGTTAATCGATTATGTATTGATCACAGAAATTTTTTTAATTAAAAAAGAATTTGTATTTAAAAGAAAATTGTATTTTGAACTGATGATACATTTCAAAGAAGATGTGAGATATCACGCGAAATATTCTTTATTTGTACATCATTACGAGTGATTCGTAGAGTACACTGCGGCAATGTATCTACTATTTACACTATAACGAAGTTTCTTACTCTATTTATTTTCGGTGGAAACGTAGAGAAAAATTGCAACGGGATGATTTGCTCACTAATTTAAAAATACATAATCGCCAGAAAATTATTAATTATTACGAAATAAACTTAAACATATCAATACATCAAATATGTAGAAAGTAAATTCTAAATTGTCATGTAATTAGGAAAAAATGTAACATGGTTTTTCAGTAAAGTATAAAATTTTATATAAATAAAGTAGCTTAAAAATCCAAATAAAGATATAAATTTTAATGAGCATAAACCACACACTAGATATCATTAACGAAAATTAACATATATCCAAATCATTAAAAGTACATCAAATCTAATAGACGTTTCAGTCATAAATATAGCCATTTTCACAGAATTTTGGAATAACATGTCAAACAATCCATCGTTACATATAATTTGTATAAGTTTATTATAACGTCAAACTTGTGACTCATCTTCTCCATATCAAGACATAGTTTCCAAGCTATATCTTAAAATATGGCCGAAATGTCTATTAGATTTGATGTACTTTTAATGATTTGAATATATGTTAATTTTCGCTAATGTGTCGTTTATGCTCATTAAAATTATATTATGAAATTTTACTAATAAATTTGATGGAGCTGGTCATATTAATTATATATATATAAATATGTAATTTTTATATTATATATAATATATCTATATATATAATATAAACAAATACACATTTTTAAATAAAACTCCGCATAATATGTATTTCTAAATGCATTACGCAAAATGTCTATTTCTTATCTACGGTAGGAGATTCGAAATAACACAATAATCCCCAAAATAGTATATGTGTGCGCGCGCACACGAATGCGAGTATTTCACTTAATTTTTACATTATTTATTTTCAAAATATCTAATAATAACTATATTTATACTTACAATTTTTATATAAATATATATTGTACGTTTTTTTTCTAAATTCCTTTCTTCATTTATTTATCGGTGTGAGGTCTTTAACGAAATAATAATATGACAGTGTAATCGAATCGTTTGATTAAATAATTTCGAATCAACCGATCCAGGTTTTCTTAATAAAATCTGCTGCTCTTTCACCTGCAACATGTACATATACAGTTATAAAAAGAAAAAGAGAAAGATAAAAAGATTTACGTACCGATCATGATCGCTGGTGCATTCGTATTGCCAGATGTAACCCTTGGCATGATGCTTGTGTCGGCCACTCTTATACCTCGCACTCCTCTGACTCGCAATTGATTGTCAACCACGGCCATTGGATCGTCTGACGGTCCCATTTTGCAGGATCCCGCCTGATGATTCTCGGGTGCAGTGTCATGACGAATCGCACATTCCCAGTAAGCGTCACAGCCGAACTTCAGGTGCTCGCAATTCTTCACTGGAGTTCGGTCCAACTCGAAACCGTACCTATAAGTGATTTCCGTAGAATCAGCAAAAATAAGCCAAGATATGAAAACAAGCTAAGATTTTTTAATCATTTTTGTTTATGATAAATCTATTGATCTATGATATAAAAAACTAGTAATTAAAAAAAAAAGTATTTTTTATTGAAAAAGTGTTACAAAAAATGCGAATTAATTATTGAAAGTATAGCATTTGATAGAGTTTATTTTAAAATCTAATTACATGGAATTAGATTTAAATGCATGATTTAAATGCATTTATGTTTTTATGTTTTTTTTTTAATCTAATTCCATGGAATTAGATTTTAAAATGAACTCAATCAAATGCTATACTTTAATTAATTAATTCGCATTTTTCGTAACACACTTTCTGTCAATAAAAAATACTTCAATAAAAACATAAAAACATAAATACATTTATGTTTTTATGTACTCTATATCACAAATAACGCTCAAAGAATCTAAATGCATTATAAATATGTAAAACATATAGGATAAAATATATCTGGAGACGCAAAAGTGTCTAAGGCGTTAAGCCAAGCGCAGCGACACTGCTGTGGGTTTTTCATGCGAGCCGGCGAATTTCGGGGAGTCGAGGTTATTGATCTCAATAAGAACTGAACCAATTAAGTGTGCTCAATCGATTGCGCTCACTCAGGATATATAATGAAAGTATTTTTATTTTTTCTAAGAGACGCGAAAGTGTCTAGGCGTTAAGCCAAGCGCAGCGACACTGCTGTGGGTCTTTCATGCGAGCCGGCGAATTTCGGGGAATCGAGGTTATTGATCTCAGTAAGAACTGAACCGATTAAGTGTGCTCAATCGATTGCGCTCACTCAGGATATATAATGAAAGTATTTTTATTTTTTCTCTACATGCCCTGTGAGCGGAGATATTGTAATATAAAGATCGAATATGTTGATTTTTAATTACAAAAATTAAGATACGTCGTTATGTTCGTCGACCAGTTGAGAAATGTAAGGTTAATTTTTCGATAATAGTGGACTTTTGACTTTATGTCATCTATCTATCCAATATCCATTATATAGGATGGCTGTAACACGCGCACGATTTAAAATAAAATATTGAGATTGTCATTGTAATAATATAATTAATTAATATTTAATAAATCGAGACCGTGTCTAGTAAAGATCGAATATGTTGATTTTTAAGTTACAAAAATTAAAATACGTCGTTATGTTCGTCGACCAGTTGAGAAATGTACGGTTAATTTTTCGATAATAGTGGACTTTTGACTTTATGTCATCTATCTATCCAATATCCATTTATATACGATGGCTGTAACACGCGCGCGATTTAAAATGAAATATTGAGATTGTCATTGTAATAATATAATTAATTAATATTTAATAAATCGAGACCGTGTCTCTCCAGAAAATTCACACAATATAATTTAAAATATTATACATGACAGCGCGCTTGGATTCGGAACTGTGTTCGGAAGTGAGAGCGGAATAATTAGTTGTCTGCTCTAGCGAAGCGTGTGGTTAAATGTTGATCGTCAAGGAAACGGACGAAAATATGGACAAGCGAACACGGATGAACAACACTCCTTTATCTTGAATAATTTGTTCAAAGAACCAATAAAGAAATCTGTTAAAGAGAATTCCTTTCTAATCGCTTCTTTTGTAACAACAAATAAATTAGAAGTTATGGAAAAGAATCGACTTCCGACGTATAAATATTAAAAAGGAAATATCGAAAGTGTCCTTGAGGAACTGTATCGTCGAGGAAGAAGATGTCCAGATGTTCACCGTCGAGGAAATGAGTCTCTATAGGTGTTCGCCGTACAAGAAATGGCAGTCTAGGTGTTTGCCTCGAAAAAAATGGGTGTATCTAGATGTTCACCGTCGAGGAAGTGAGTGTCTAGATGCTCGCCGTCGAGGACATAGGTGTCTAGATATTCGCCGTCGAGGAAATGTGTGTCCAGGTGTTCACCATCAAAGGAATTAAGTGTCTATAGGTGTTGTCTCTGTGTTTGCCTCGAGGAAATGGATGTATCTAGGTGTTCGCCGTCGAGGAAAAATATTGATGTGACATTTAGAATAAAAAAGATACATTCCCACAAGAGTTAAAGTGTATTCAATGTTCATATGTATATAAGTGAGTGAGTTGTATCTCGATTCTGATATCATAACGTTATAGTAAAAATATGGATGTGACATTTAGTATAAAAGAGATTAAAAACATTTCCATGAAAGTTAAAGTAAGTAGTGTGTATATATTTGCGTATAGTAGGATTTTTTGTATCAATATGCGTCTACAGATCTATCTATCTAATAATAACTATAGCAGATCAGCTTTGCGCACGTGACGGCTGTTACACACGCGGTATAAATTGTTCAAAATAAATTAAATTTGGTTCAAACTGTATACATTTTCTCGAATTCGAAAACGAATATTATATGCTTACATGTATCATATAATGAAATAATAATATTATTTAACATCATCATATGTTCAGAATAAGAAAATTCACATTTATTATATTTATACATTATAATTTATACATTATGTAAGTAGGTTAATACCACATAGGTTTTTAAAGATGTAAAGATATACGGTAGGGACAATAGGTGTCGGTATCTTTGATCTTTTTCAGATGATTTTTTTAGACGATAGTTTTTTACGTGGAGCAAATATACTCTTAGCGCCTTTTTTTATCTTTTTTTAAAAAGGTAAAAAGCTTTTTAATTTTTTACGTGGATAGAACTTAGGTTTTATTGTATTCTACTAAACAGCAAATATGACTAGTCAGTTCCGCAGCCGATTAAGTAATTGGCGTTGGTGAAATTGGTCCACATGGTTCTTTACCAGAAGCATAGTGATTGACCATTCGCTATAAATTTGCCTACATATTAAAATCAAATTAAAATAAAATTAAGTTAATTTCTCAACAGAGTAATAACTGATCTTAACTTCATATATGAATAAAATATTCAATTTACAATCCGTTTTTTACGAGATAAACTTATACATATAAGACCCGCGGGCAGATGAAAATTTGTAAATATTAAACAAATCAATTAAAGATGACTCTCGAAAGTTTCAAATAACAAGAATAATACCGGCAAATGAGAGATGTAAGTCTTTCGTGCGCGAATCTCTCGTTTAATTTCCTACTATTGTACATAATCGTTCTAACACTTTGTATTATATTAAGATTCGTTCGTTCTATTTTCTCATATTATATTAGCACTTGTTAAATCCATTCTAAATTCTAAGTTCGATAGTAAGTAAATTCCTTATTCCGACCAAGAATTATAATATTACGCGCTTATTATTACTCTGTCCGTCGTTCCAGCAGATTTGTTCGCGAGCATTCGAATTATTGCGACTCTGTTGTTATTCTTTTTTTTTCTTTCCGAATTCAATTGCAACACACTAACGGCCAAACCGACGCGACTATTATTCTCTGGCCTGTCTCCTTTTTGTTATCAGCTGAAATAAAAGCTACCTTTAAAGGTGAACAATGATGAACCATCGCCTTATTATTTTTTTTTATTATTATTTCCTTTTATTTCTTTCTGTTTGTGTCTTGTCTAAACGCGCGTAGTGTAAGTGCTATCAAGTGCGAGCGATAATTCTCCTCCAGTGAGTAGCATTTTTCCTCCACTCAACGATATAACATTTTATTAAATTTATTTCTTTTCCATTTTCTAAATTTTTTTTCTTTATTTTCATACTAATGGTCAATCACTGTCATCGATAACTATCTCTGTAGTCAATAACTATCATTTTCTAAATAAAAGTTTCTACTGTTAGAAAAAATTAAAAACATGATTTTATTCAAAGTTCTTTTGTATTTGAACGTATTCTTTGAACCTTACTTAATGTTCCCTTTGCAAATCAAATTCAAATTTCAAATAATTTCAATAGTAATTATTACAGAGTGATTATACTTTAAATTTTAGCACTTAAGTGGTCAATCACTGCACACTTTATGCTATTTTAAAATATGCACATATGAGATATGTACAAAAAGTTCGTGCACTCGGTTCACCAAAAATCCAAATTAAATTATTCTGTAACAGGGATGTAGTTACCCTCGAAGTACTCTCCCTTGATAGAATGCACTTGGTCCAACGCTTTTTCCATTCCTGAAAGTAGTGCTGCATGTCTTTCTTTGTCACTTCCTTTAGAAGCTTCGTCATTTCTCGTTTTATATGGTATCAATAATGACTCCTTTTATCTCCTTATGTGGAGCATAGGACGTCTATAGGTCTCTTCCTCTTTTGTCCGAGGCCTATATTCGTTTCTCGAATCAGATTGTTTTTCGGATTTGTGGGTGATTGATCCACAGAATCCTATCTAAGTCAGATATTAGAGACAAATATCTACTGATATGTATACTGATGTATAGGACCTACAGTTTAACGTCGAATCCGAACGGCGCTGATGATCATAGATTTTTTGATCACCAGGTGGAGCCATTTTTTGGCTCATTAAACGCGAAAAATCGCGTTTGGGCGCATGTGGGATTGAACTCGGGTCTACAGATCGCAAGTCAATCGCACGGAGCGGTGAGCCACTCGACGCCCATATGGTATCAATGACATCCACAAAATGTTCACCACGAATGATATTTCTTACTTTAAGGAACAGGTAGAAGTTATAGGGTATTATGTCAGGTGAATAGGAAGGGTGGTCCATAGTAGTGGATATTATTTTTTGACCAAAAACTTGTGCGTAACGAGCCAAACTTTCGAAACAATTTTTGCACACAGCTACCGCAAGTTCAAATCTTCTTGTAAAATTGTCTGAACACTACCGTTACTTTTATTCCAAGTTTTTCCTCAATCATTCTAGTGATAATTTGACGATCTGCCTTAACCAAATCATGAACGCATTGAATGTTCCGCTCATATGCGTCATCATCAATGCACTCCCTCCCCTTCTTGAACAGGTCCACCCATTTATACACAGTTCTACGCTTGGCAGAGTCACCAAACACCATTTCCAACATTTTAAAGAATTTCCTAGTCGTTTTTGCCAAGCTTTACGAGAAATTTGATGTTGGTTTTTTGCTCGGTTAAAACGTTTCGCTCTATTCTCCCGACACGACCAAAAGTACGTTAATAAAAACACACGAAAAAGCAGAAATCTCACTTGACCGTGACCAAACTTTTACTAAGGACACGTGAGGCTTCCCCCGAGACATTGCATCATAGTACAAGCTTACAACGGCACGTCAGCAGAATAAAATTCAGTGCACAAACTTTTTGTACAAACCTCGTACATCAAAGTTTACAGTAAAATTATAAACAGAATTCTATCGTAAAATTTAAAATACAAGTAACAAGCCATCTATGGATTTAAAAAGTTGTTTAGGAAATGTAGAAACAATAACAAAAACAGGAAGACATATTTGTTCTTTTCTATCTAGAATTCTCATTTTTTGAAAGGATGCAACATCTGTTTTTATGAACATTTACCAAAAAATGCTAAGAAATGAAAGTTAATACCTTTTGAGCGCCTGGGTCTCCGTTAATTGAATGCTGAACTTAACGGCTTCCACGAGAGCTGCTGAATCGTCGGGATGGGTCAAGTATTTGGGGTAGATCAGCGGCTTTGAGAGAGGATCATTGTTTCGTAAGCGCAGATAACCGCGACTTTTCGGATGCAGGATAGTCGGGATGATGTAGATACTGCGATTCGCGCCCTTCCTTTCACCTACCATACCAGTCTCCGCGCAATCGGCCAGGTAACCGCCGAAGATTAGCTGCACATCTGGATGATCCTCCCTCGGATCCGCGTACTTAGTATTTATCATTGCTGTCACCTCGGATATTCCTAGATTAATGTAGATTAATGCAATGCTGAATCTTGTTCTGTTTTGTTTTTAAAAAATTTAATAGTGTTATTAATTTATTATACAAGTAATAGTTGCAATGAAATAATTTTATGTGTGTATAGAACGATCAATTATTGTTAAGGTTTTAACATCATTTTAAAAAATATATTTTTACTATCAAATATTTATTTTACAATAACACTGAAGCGACAATCAATTTGCAGCAATTATTTATAAATTTATTATATTATTTAAAATAATTTTCATAGCTTTTAATATCAATATCAATATATTCTAATCTATTATCACAGTTTCTGGAAATTCTGTGCAAACAAGGAAATAGAACACTCACAATATATAAGAAGTTCCATTGACAAATATGAAGTTAAATTGACAAATGTTAGAAGGACTTGACATTAAAAAACGGATTTAAACTAATACAAGGATCGCTAATTTCGATCAACGAGAAGAACAAGCACGTAATAACATTTTATTATATAAAAAATGCGAGAACGGCGGATATTGTAAATGTATTCTTGCGATAACTTTTGAATATTTTTAAATGTAATGATTTTTACAGACGATGGTCTAATGCCCGTTTCTACCAACGCGGTTTAAAAAGTTAATCCCTAGTGACACTCGGTTAACCAAAGTTTACTAGAATATTGGTTTCTACCAATAATTTATTTAAGTTTAAACTTCTGTAAACTGAGTTCTATTTAAACGGCCAATTTTGACCGTTTAAGCTTCTTAAACTCCGATTAAAAATGTAACTAGCCTACTGAAAGTAGTTCTTAACCTAAATTTCTTTAAACACATGCGACAAGTAAGGTTAAAGTTATTGAAAATATAAAAAGAAAGAAATTTATACTAAAAATACAAGGCTATAAACTAGATTTTATTAAAAAAACATGGCAGATTTGTTTAATTTTTTTACTGTCATCATCTGATGATGAAGATTATCGAGAACCAAACCGTAGAAGAAGAAAAAGATTTAAACAGTGCATAAATTATATTGAACAATTAGACGACATGGAATTTAAAATGCGGCTTAGATTAAACAAACAGTCAGTTCGATTAATATTGGAAGAAATAAGAGAAGAGTTGGAGTTTTTTTTATGACAGAAAGAGTTGGAGTTTTTTTTCGACATTTGGCCGAAGATCTACTATTAAATTTCTATAGTTTTCCAACATTTGTCTTTGTCTTTTGAGGTTACTGCATCAGATTTTTTATTTTCTATGATATCCTTGTACTGTAAAACTAAATTGGTTAAAATCATTTTTTCCGCTTCCGAAAAATTGTCGGCACGTTTGCGTTGCTGTTTATTTTTTATGTTTACTTCACTCGACATTATTACTTTTTGCAGCCAAAATATAAAAAAATCTGTTCAGCCAGTTAGAGCAGGCACTGAACCAATCAGCATTTAGTATTCTTGAGTTTCCTACAGTTATATCACATGGATTATAAGTTTAGTTAAACTTACGAGATTCGATGCTGGTAGAAACCAATCGGTGCTGCTAACTCTCTAACCTAAAGTTTTCTGTTAACCAAAGTTTTAATAACCTACGGTTTAAACCGAAGTTGGTAGAAATGGGCATAAAATAGACCGAAATGTCTAGACAAATTTACTGTTTATTTTGAATAAAGGACACTCGCTCATTATAACTGGCTCTGTGGCTGTATGCTCTTTGTTTTGTCTTGATTTTATATTTTAAGCCACATAACATATATTATTTCATAATCGAAATTATTTGTGTATAAATCCGCCTGATATATTGAACTTTGTCATTGTGACATCTAATTAGATTATAGCGACTCAAAAAATCCTGTACATTACTAAATCTAAATTAGTGGATAATCACTGATATCAGTGCCAAGTATGCCACTGGCAATTAATGAATGAAATATGAGATTTCTAATCTAGCTAATCTTTATTATGTGATCTAATCTTATTTTAGTGCATAAATTCAATGAATATAGTATTGAAGATTGAAATTAACATGTAAATATCAATATTTTAGGATATAATGCTCAAACTTTTTTCTTTTTTAATTGAACTTCACTGATTATCCAGTGCCAAACGTCACTGGGTAATCAGTGAATACTGGGGGATAAAATCAGGCATACTTGGTACTGATATCAGTGATTATCCACTGATTCAGATTTAGACAGTATATACTCTAGGCAAATCGGAAGCATTTTTGCACTTGTCGGTTATATTGAATCCGCTATATTAAATTTCGAAATTATCAGTTCAGATTCTAATACGGCGACTTCAAAAACCTTTAGAGACCAAGTTTCATTTTATTACAACAAAAATTTGCTTAATCGTTCAATCATGATCCGTTTTTTGCTCATTCAGCGCACTGTGCGGCACCTTGATGATTTTAAGTAAAAGAAAATTCATTTTATTATTTTTGTCGTTATAATATTCAGATTTAATGGTTGCGTTCAGCAGACTCAACAGTTTTACAACTGTTTTATGATTCTTTGCTGAGATAGGACTATTCCTTTAGATCTAAAAATATAATCCAATTAGCGAGACGAATCATAAAACGGTTGCAAAACTGTTGAGTCTGCTGAACGCAGCCAATAAGGAAGGAAAACTTAGAATTTTTTAAATTATTTTTAAAAAAAGTATATACATTTTTTATTCATAAGTATCTAATTTATATGACATATAATTTTATATACGTCTTCATTTGAGATAACATATAATTTTATAGAATAAATTTTTATTTGAGACAACGTATTATGTTTATTTTTAATTTATTTAGCTGTATACCGTACCGTGTCACTAATGTACCATCTGGCATTACCTACTGTAGAAATGAATACGGAGACAAATATATATTCGTAATTATATTTAAAAAATATTCAATCAAATGAAATAAAAAAGTATTTATTCGTTTCTTGATGAATAAAAAAGAAATGTATTCAAATGGATATTTTCATTCATTTTTTAGTCATTTATTCAAATATTAGGTGTATTCATTGGGCACACTAGTTAATGCACCCAGCCTGCGTTCTATTATCCTTATGTAATTTAATTGAGCTTCGAATCGCATAACTGATTCGCATAGCTGATGTCAAGAGAAGCGATTTTGCGAGTTGCATTTAGCGAGAACTGTGCCCCATTATAACGTCTCGCCGCGCCGCGCCGCGCCGCGAGCGTTCGTGGCGAGGAGGCGAAAGACGCGATTCTCAGATGTGAAGGAGTTCAGCCTCGGAGGTGAGGCTTGTTAAAAACTGGCACAGCTCGAGGCTGCCGATCGTGCTGAATACCTTAAAAAGCACTATGGATTATGATCGAGTTAGTCTCTCGTGAAAGGGATACGTTACGGATATAACACACGCGACGCAGTATGTATCTACATAAATTCCCGAGCAATTTACTCGGTGAATTCCCGACGCGAAGCTATATGTGCTCGCATCATTTTCAACGATTACTCTCCTACCTGAGTTCTGCCTTCAATTAAAGATCGAAAGATATACAAGCGGAGTGCAAGATAGATATGTCACCCAATCAGAGTTGTCTATGTAATTGAATGTGTTAATTAGATGATCGCGCAAAATAAAAACTTTCTCCGCGTACTGTCCTTCATTCTTTCTTTTATTATATTAATGGTATAATAAACGCAAACGTTTGTACTTCACTACGGTTAGAGCTGAGCATATTTCTAATACTCGTATTTGAAATATAATTTGTATTTTGTATTTCAGTGGAGTATTTAAAAGTATTTTGTATTTTAAAGATTGGACTGTTCCTTTTAGAAATTCTAATGCAAGTAAAATAAAATTTCCACTTAATATGTCGAGGGCTCAGTTTTGTGTTAAAGAAGTTTAATATTAAGACATTATCATAATTAAAAGATCACAAAAAGGTATTTTATATTTAAAAAAATTTGAAAGTATTTTGTATTTCAAATATTTTTTAATGATATATTTCGCTCAGCCTCGATTATGATTAATCATGTACAGGACATTTCATAACATGTGAATATAATTTTAAAAATAAATTCAGAACACAAAAAGTTCACATAAAAATTCATTCTGTATATGATCTTCTTTTTTGAGTTACGTTTTCATGTGTTTCATTTATTTTCATTATAAATTTACAAGGGAACGTTTTTAGGTGTAAATCATTGATCTCGAAACTTGGTGAGTGCGTAGAGAGGAATCAAAACTAAGTGTAACGTATATTTTCCTTTCTGTCCAAAATGCCTTTTTTAGTCGCTAGGGGACGTTAAACTTTTAATATGTATTGATCAATGTCGCATGAAATACTTCCTAAGAAAAATTAAAAACCTCAAAATTGGTTAAATTAACAAAATAAGATCATAAAGTGTCCTTGAGTGGTCTCCAAAAGAAACGAATTGAAAATAATGATTAATTCATTTATTTTTATAACATAAAATTATTACAATAATGGAATTCTGTGAGAAAAGGTTTAAAACACGTAATTTTTGTACACCACGCACATAATATAAATGAAACTTCTTCATACAATACACACGTCGGGCAATGTAATGTGTAATAAAATTAAGAAAGCATACGGAGAACCGTTGCGTGCTTTATTTATATTGACAATGAGTAGGTCGTACTCCAGCGAAAATGTTACTATCCCACTTCAGTAGACAATTTAGACAAAAAAGAAAATATACACTTAGTTTCGACTCCTCTATGCGCCAACCTTCATCGAGATCAATAATTTACACCTTTACACCAAAAACGTTCCTTTGTTAGTTTAGCTGATTCTATTCAAATGTTTACTATCAATTTAAATTAAGATGTTTACTATTAAACAGAAATGTATGTCAAGATTGTATGCTACGCTAGCTCAGTTTGTAATGAAAATTAATGAAACACGAAAATATCTATAACTTTCGAAAACAAAGTCAGATAATATATGTTTATATAAACTTTTTATTGTTATTTTTATTCTGAATTTATTTTGTCAAGTTGTGCCTACGTGTTATAAAAAAACCTGTATATACAATCTTTTTTAATCACTACTTGCACGCATGAGACATAGTTAAGCCTATATATAATAGAAATGCAAATGTAATTTGTAGAAAGGTAAATGATGATCGTTCAATGCGTATGAGTTGTTAATATTAATTTATGAGGAAATTAATGTAAATATTAGATTGATATATCAATCTTAAGTATCATTGATGTTCCCGTAAATTATCGTACTCAAATTAACAACATTGCAATGAGAGAAGTTATTATAGCTATTGACATGTATAATAAAAGTTACGTCATATATTACGTATCGTGCATCGTTAAATTATTAACTCCTAATGTTATATTAATATATCTATACATTTCGTTTTTTTATAATTGTATTTCTCAGTCTCGTTGTTAGACTCTTTTCCTCAGAGATCATAGAAAGCTTGAGAAATAATTCGAACGTAATGTCGATGATGTATGGAGTGTATGTGAAATAATGGTATGGTACGAGGATCAGATAATTCGCATTGACAAATCGTAAAAAGAGAGTCACGAGTATCACACGAGGCGACGATCGGCTTCAAGTCGGCCCGCAATTCGGATGACGGTAAATAGATCTGTCGATCGGGATAAGTCACGTAATCGCGGGTCGACAGAACCACGAACGTGACCATTGTGCAATAATACACTTTCACTGCTCGTAGCACGAAGCCCGTGAATTAACGCTCCGAGATGCAACATCCTTCGACATGGTAAACAGGAAGAAGAAGCGGGTTAGTACTTTAACCCGACCGCGTTGCCCCGATCAATGAAATTGCAACCCTAGGGAGTCGATCTCAAGTCTCGACTTCTAATGTAATAATCTGAGACAATGATGGCTTGTACTTGTTGAGGAAAAATATAGATAGAATCGAAGTTAACCGGCCTCTTCAGTTTCTTCTTCAAAAGTCACGCTAAACTTTATTTATCTTTCAAGAAATTAAATTTTTTAACTTATAAAAAAATTAATTTATTTTATTGATTAAATATAATATATTGCATCATGTGATGATTTTGTAGATCGTATTTATGTTTTTTGACTCTTATTATCTTTTTCTTTGTTTTTTAAATACTAAGAGTCCTGTATATTCTTTCTACTTTTAATTTATGTTATTGATTAAAATTTTTTTTTGAATGTGTGTGATAAATAGATCAATAATTGATCAAATTTAATACAATGTAACACGAAACTGCAACGAGTGATTTATGGAAATATGTAATTAGGTATCCGTCATATATCTTATTCCACATAACACTCGGCATTATATCACATTGTTTAAATTTTACAGCCATAATTAATTTTTTAATAGTGTTAAAAACAGTTTATTAGTTTCCTAATTTTTATTTTTAACAGCTTCTTTTTTCTTAACTTTTATTTATTATTATATAACTGTAAATATTTTTTATATGTTATATTATACATATGCATATTAAAAAAAAATTTTATATATTATCTAAGAAGGTCCTTTAAATTTTTTATTGATTGTTTTATTTTAACAAAATATAAAAATTTTTTAAGTAAATGTTTAGAGCAGTCCATCTTACCTGTTCCAGACATCAGGCCGTCCCTGAAGAGTAAATATTCCATAGCGGTTGCCCAATTGAGCGGAGTAGTATCGGTATCGTTGATGGTGAAGGTCAATGCGTAGGCAACGTGATTGTGAAGATTTTTGCCGACACCCGGGAGATCGCGAACAACCGGCACTCCCACCGCATTAAGATCCTCTCGAGGTCCTATTCCGCTATTTAAGAGAATTTGCGGCGAGTTAACGGCACCTAAATAAACGTGACAATTTTATTGCGGGGATTTGTGTACATGATATAGTAATGCTAAATGTATAACGATAAATCGTACAGGTTTTGCCACTGGATGATATCGTGAACATAAAAGGTAATGCAAATTGAATTTATTCAGACGAAACGCCAAAAACTAAGCGATATTTTTCGCAATATATAAAGAATAAATTAAAGATCTAATTATTTTCGGAATTTTTAATATGTCATTAATTAAATTTGTGATATTACTACTGTAGTATTTATGCGTTATATCTGAAAGTTTTCAGCGCGCAATTATGGGAGGACTACATATATAATATATAAAATTCACACATAAAATTATAATAAGCACTGTGATCCAGCTTTGACCGTTATAGGCTGTCTTCTTTGTTTGTTTGAAATTCATACATTTAATTAAATGTTTATCAAATATGCAGATTTAAAAATGAAAAAATGTCTCTTCTTCATCCAATAAATTTAATTTTATTATCTATATTATAGAGTATATTTAAAGATAAAGAATTTATCGGCGTTTATTTTTATCGCTTCAATGTCACTGCGAAGTCAAGTCCCAAAGTCGTCGTAAGTGCGCAATCCGTATTGTTCGAGAGAAATCGATCGCTATCCCTCGAGAGAATTTGCGGAAGGATGAGTAATTAAGACTGATTCTCTGTATATGTGTGTGCAGAACGTGTGGTGTTTCTAAACACGGATTTCTATACATATATGGGACATTCTTGACATGAATAGGAATGTAGTTGCGCCTCTTCAGAGACGCGTCTTCTTCCGTATCATACATAAGACAGAACCGTCAATATATACCCGAGAACTCGAGAAAGGAGAAGTCCACAGAGATTTGCCTGACTCGAACCGGTTTAAATTACACACGAATGCTGGCCGACAAAAGCGTTCGTTATTCCAATTAATCAGTGAAATTACCTCCGCTCACGACCACCTCCTTCGCCACCGACACGTGTTTCGTCATTCCGTCATGAAGGAACTCGACACCGACCGCTCTGTTATTCTCGTCGAAGAGGATCCTCGTCGCTGTCGAGTTCAGCATTATATGGAGATTCGGACGGTTTCGGGCGGGACGCAGGAAGGCGCGCGCCGTGGAAAGACGTGAGCCATTCCTGGATGTGGTCTGCGCTATGGCAAACCCGGTGTGGGTTCGTCCATTCAGATCAACCGCATCGTATCCTGATATAAATAGATATATAGATAAATAGATCAGAAATTTTAGGATAAGTCCTCTAAAGCGGCATCTATAATAAAATTAATTGCAACTTTAAATTAACTTTAAGCCGTAAGAAATTGATCGATCACACACTACGGTTGATTAATTTCTTAAGCCTGAAGCTAAAATTTAAATTTTACGCACTAAAATTGCATTGAGATTAAGGGCTAATAAAAAACGAACGGTGAATAGACAACACGAGAACTAAAAGCTAAGTGGAAATAGAAGGAAAAAATTGAAACAGAAGCAATTTATCTTGGATTTCTTGGATTAATCTTGATAAATTTAGAGGTAAAGAGATTGCCCGGTCGCTCGGATCTCGCAACTGTATATACCCAATTCTTTTCCAGCTTCCAAGAGAGAGAAACTTAATGGTGGGTGGTAAGGAAACTGCATAACCGTGAGTGGCCCGCCGACCCCGTGATAGCCGTAATCCATGCTGTTCACTTGCTGATTATCCTCGCTCCGTATAAAAAACGGTAGGACGTCGCGATAGGACCATCCGACGTTGCCGAGCTTGGCCCAGTCGTCGTAATCCTTACGCGAGCCTCTCATATACATCATCCCGTTCATAACGCTCGTACCGCCCAACACCTACGGATTTACGTTGTTATCTACAGTTTCATACCGTGGCTTCATATAGATACTTCTCCTTAACAACTATCTGCGACGAAGAAAGATCTTCTAATTTTTAATTAAAACTAGAAAATGATAAACTGTTAAATTTATTTTAACAGCGATTCAATTGGAAATTCATTAATTTTGCATTATCTGTACAATTACAAAAAATACTAAGCTTTTAAAAATAAAAACATTGTGTATCTACATAACTTTTAATCATGTGACTAAATTAAGAATTTAATTGAAAAACAATTAGAAGATTGAAAGAATTATCATCGGAGTTTCCTCTTCTTCTCTCTCTTTTTTTCTTTCACTTAATTCTACATACTTTCCCTCTAGGCCAGTAACATTTTTTGTGTTCTTTGTTCAAGCAAGCTTCGTCTTCGCTCTCTGTAGTGTACTGCCAGTCGATCTCGCTGCCAATGAAATTGAAGAAGAACGAAGGTATCTGAGTACCCGTTGGCTCGTCCAATCCAGCTTCCAACAGCAATACGGAAAATCTCGATTCTTCCGACAATCTAGCCGCCACGGTCGCTCCAGCGCTACCGCCTCCGATCACTACGAAATCGTACCTAAAGAAGGAGAGACGTCATCGCGTTGACATCGAATCTTTAATATTAAACCTAGGTAAATGCATAGGTATCTCGTTTTCAGCCTTTGCATTTAATTACTGAACTGGGTCATTGATCTTGTGATAAACGAAGCGCGACGAAGTAACATAAAAATTCTTAGCACACGCAAATTTTTTAATTGAAATTTCGGTCCTCTCTCTTAATTCGAAAACTGACGTTTCGAAAACGAAAATGTCGTATTCGCGTGGAAGACAGTTTCGGTTTCCAACGATTTAATAAAGACGTACACTCGTTTACGAAAGGCACGTTATAATTAGCAAAGTAGTATTATTTATTAAGTGATCTTCTTACCTTTTATGAATTAGAAATTGGGTTAGAAAAAAGAAAAATTATTACAAGGAAAAATGAGAAATTAAATTCACTGTTAAATTGAATTATTTGTTCTCTCATGATAAGTTTTCTTTTTCCTTTAATTGGATAATTAAATCGATAATTATATATCATTGCATAATTAATAATTTAATAAGCCTCGTTCTGAGGTTTCATTAAACTTTATTAAATTCAATTCTTAATTTGTCTAGTGAGCTAATGATTGTTACATCATCGACGTTGGCAAATTCGATCGATTTTACGCCGCACCAGGCCCCTGTATTGGGGACGGTGCACCCTTTCCCTTCTAGCTACACCTCCTATACCGACATCGGGCGAAAGGCGGGTTTCTCAGGAGGTTGCTCGGGACAATCGTAAGTGTCCGTGGTATATGCTCTCAGCTGAATGCCACGGCGTACCTGTATCCGTATTTATATGCTGTGGGGGACAATGACATACTTTTACGCGCCGGACTTGATAGAACGGCGTACACACGATTCTATAAGGATCTCCCTGTGATAATCTTTTTTCTCAATTCTGTCTTTGGCTAATCCGGAACCGATTTCCCCATAAAAAGATAAGTACTTTTTTAAATTGTAAACATTAAGTCTGTCTCTTATTTCTGCATTAGACTGCACTAGAACTTTCTATCTCGCTTTCGATAAATATTAAATATATACATATATATATATACCTACTTCACTTTAAGTTTCAAAGTGTATACCAATTTAGCTACAGAAAATAAACTCTTCGTAAGATAAAGGTCTTAAAAATTTTCCCTGTATTGAGAACTGAAAAATTTGTTTTCTCGAAAACGAGGCAAAATACATCGTTTAACTTTTTTTTTCTAAGATGTAGGAAAATCAAAAGTATGTAAACATATTTTTCCAGATTTTTCGACTCTCTCCTAGATTGTTAAAAAATTTATTAAAAAGTTCATTGTTAAATAAACAATGGAAAACGAAATCTTTTCGGAATATTAATATTTTTCCCATTAACTATAGAACTTTTTAGCGTGAATTAAAAAAAAAACGAAGTCAGCTAGCATTATATTAGTAACAGAGATATGAATCTTTGTACACGGAGAAAATTTTATATTAAGTTTTAATACAATTTTAAATTACATTTCACCATGTCTTGTATTTTCGGATGGATTCTCACAACAACATTACACAATTTTTACTATAGTAATACTAATTTTATCACATAAATGAAGTAATTTTTATTAAATCCAGTGCTTAAGCCATGGAAAAAGTTAATTTTTACTATGGTACGCAAACAATATTTGCTAGGTTATTTATATATTCTTTATCTTTACAATACTAACTTTTATTCAACAAGTGATTTTGTAGTAAAAAATTTTTATTATGAAAAAATGTAAAAATTACTTTATATTATTGTTTATGAAAAAATGGTTATAGCATTTAAACATATAATTACACGATAATCCGCAGCTTCTATCACATTATAATAATTTTAAGTATAAAATTTTCTCCGTGCAGAATAAAATAGTTTAATTTTTAATTGTTTATATCTCGATTAATTTTGCAATAAAAAAAATCCTTTGACACAAAATTCTCCAAGAGCACTACCTATGTGCAAAATTTAAAAAATTTCTGATAGATGATCCGCTTCACGCGGAATAAGATATAATAGAAGGTATCAAATTATTTTATTTCAAAATTGGCGTTTTTTAATCGTTAGCAAACGAATATCATTTATACGTTTCTTGTAAAAGATATTTGGGGACGTCTTATCTTAAATAACTTAATTAATTAATTTTATTTTATTAATATCATCTTTAGTATGCAAACATAATGTATCATGAGAAATGTGATGCAAACGCAATACGTCTTACATCAGATCGTTTTATGTATCGTTGTGCTGCTATTACTCTATCAAAATCCAACATTTACCATCGCTAATATTTGCGACAATACATATTAATAAATAATGTTTTGTACTTATGTAGATTTATTGGAATGAATATGGCAAATGACTCAGATTGTCTAAGTGCCGGTGGCTATGTAACATGTTGAGATAAGCATAAACGCTTATCAAACCTGTTTTCATCTTCGCTAAACGGGTTCTTGTATGACAAATAAACTGCACTGCACGTTCTGTTCTTTTTCTCTTTTTTTTTACGGTCGCAATATTGCAGATCACTTTGTGTCCTTCGCGCATGATAAGGTAAGACAAAAGCATATGAAATGACAAAGTATTTTTAACAATCCAGGTTCTCTTAGTTGAATATCGTAATTAAGGCATAAAGGATAGTATTTTGAAAATCCTCTAATGAAGATTCTGGAACAATCGTATATTTGAGAATCAAATAAATAAATCAAAGACATTTAAAAACCAAATAAATTATAAATTAAGGTATAGTTATACCCTAAAACACATTAAGAATGTCTTGAAACTTTCGTTTCAAAGTAATTTAGGTATTAATACATATATGTTTGTAAAATTTGAGCTTTACGATTTACCGTCTCGTTCCTGGGATATAACCGATTAGATAACATCGCAGATTTTTCTATATTTATCATCGTAGTATAGCCATTTCCGTCGTGATATTACACAAATTTTCATATAGCATCGAAACCGCATTTAAGAAGTTAACGAAAAACGAGTCTCATATAGTTGAATTTATGAAGAAGCATATGTAACAAGACCGCAAATATTTACTGTATGCAGTGTTGTGCATAGATGATTTTAAAATTAGCTAGATAAAGATAAGATGAAAATTTGGAAATTTATCTTAGATAAGATAAAGATGATTACATTTAAATTAATCTAGATAATATAGATAAATTTATCTGACAATTCATCTAAAAAATTCCAGATAATTTTTTATTTTTAAGACTATTTATAAATTAAGAATCAGTTTTTTCTCAAAATAATTAAAAAATCACGGTGGTCCTCGATTGAATTCAACCCTGACTTTCCTGCACCTCTGATTTTCCTTCTGGAATTGGTTTTGGAACATTTCAGGACCATTTTGCAATAAATATTAAAATCGAAGAGTGAAAAAATTTCATCTAGATGATCATCTAGATAATTTTATCCAGATAAGATCGAACACTGACTGTATGATATTAAAACCACGCCAACTTGTGATATTCTTCGCAATTCTTATTTTTCACAGATTTTAAATTATCATTACTTTAATATTAAATTTTAATATATGTCTTTTAACATATTATTAAGATCTAATAAGATGCTATAAGCATCAAATATTGTTAAATTGCGTGTCAATTTAACTAGTGATATTACTACGGTAGTTATTTAGAGCTGCGTTTGTAAAAGACTGAAAATATTTCGGCGCGCGATTAAAGAAGACTACATACGTGGTAAATAAAATTCACACATTATTGTAGCAACCTAAATCTTGCTTGACCGTCATTTGACCTTTATTCAATTATTGTTTGAAATCCCAACGGTCCTACAAATATTGTAATTTTATGATATTAAAGTTTGAATCAAGAAAAAATCTTGATTTTATACATTCTCTCAAAAATTGACGAAATCTAGTAGGTATGGCAACGTCGCACTTTCAATGACAATGCGATTGCCATTACATAGATTTGGTATATGGTATCTCGTTTCTCATCAAGAGTGAGGTTGTGCCATTCTTGTCGTTTCCTCGCAAAAGAGCCGCTTCACATTTTTCTTTTCTCTTTCTAAAACCTTACTTTTAATATATTTTCCTTTATATCGTGATTGTGCGGACATTTTTGTGTTTTATATAAATATTTTGACAGCGCGCGGTGCTTCGGTACTTGTGCCTGTCCAGTGAATACAGTTATTCGTCTACTCGTAAAAATGCGACGTTGGCACGATCTAATTTCTCTTATGTGAAAACTACGTAGATTTTCCTTCTTTTCTTAAATTCACTTATTTCATCATGATTTAATATTGTGTAAGTGTATAAAAAATACATTGTTTTTTTATTTTTACATTTTACATAACAATATATATTGATTTAAATTTAGAGTTATGTTTGAGTCTGTCTTTGTGACTCGCATAGTTGGGGTATAACCACCTTAAAATGAATGTGATATTTGCTTTATATAATTTCATTTTTACATGTTCTTTTTTTACGCGATTCGACACATCTGTTTCGCAGCTAATTCTTCCCCTCGTATGAGAGAGCTCTGCTCCTTTCGCGCGTCGGTGCATGCAGCGCAAGTGCGCGTCGATGAGGCGACCAGATGTGATGCAACGAAGAGATGCATCGGAACAATAGCCCGTGTGGTATTACGTACGCGCGTAACAACGATCTCGCGGATAGAGGTGTGCGTGGATGCTCGTGTTTTTCCGAGAAATAAAGAGAGAAATGAGAAAAGCGCCGCCGCGCCTGCTGTATTTCTGTGGTATTACGTGAGTAACGTGTGCCCGCACGACACAATCGTATATCCGTATTTAGGATTCGTCGCGGAACACTTCCCGCGGATGCGATGCTCTCTTCTTCTTAGCGGAAGAAATCTCTCCCATCGATAAGTGCCGAAAGATCCCATGCCAGGAGAGAAAAAAAGTGCGACGTGTTATTACATTCAGTGCGCGCACAATGCGGTCGCGAGATAAGGAAACCACTCGCGATGGTAGTAGACTCATCCCCGCAACCGTATCTCCCGACCTCGATCGGACGATCAAACGATACGAAAACAAGGAAACTGTGTTTGCGAGTTTCCTAAGCTCACGTTCCCACTATCCGGGTAATCGCTGATAACCGCGATAGTTGGACAAGTTGACAATCCGATGGACATCCGTGACTCAGCGGGCATGAGATTTATGAATATGTTTGTTTTCGACATTCATGAACTCTCGAGAGATATATCGTTTCTAATTTCCGAGTTTCTATTAGGTGTATAAATAAGTTTCCGCCATTTTTTCATAAAAAATTGGGCATTTATTGTGAAAGAACGGTACCTAATATTTTATTCGAAGTATTTTGTTCATCGCTAGCCACTACTTTTTCCAATCTTTCTGGTAATTGATGGATTCCACGTCGAAAAAACAAGAAACGTCGAAACTACGATCTTTGTCTTCGACGTCAAACTCACCATTCTTATACTTTTGAAACTACTCACGGCAACTTCTCTCACTTAAAGTAGCCTCACCATATGCTTCTACAAGCAATCGATGCGCCTCAGCTGCAGATTTCTTCAAATTAAAGAAGCTCCCGCAAATGACGCTTATTCGACTAAAAAAAAACTCGACATTTTCACACGAAAAAAAATATACGATGCTGATACAAAATCGCTAATATTTCAAGGTTATGTTGTTGCCAGATGTCCAATCTTACGATATGACGTTTTATAACAGACAATTTTAACCATAACATACTGCTGGCGCTATCTTTTGTCAAACGGCGGAAACTTATTTATACTCCTAATAAAATAGGACGTGAGATATTTGACATGTACATTCTAAATTTTTGGAGTAGAAACTCACTCTAAAGCATCTTGAAAAAGAATGGCCCAATTTCAATCTGTAACAATGAGATCTTTACTCTTTAGTGTGAGAATTCGCTTTGAAAGTTTTAAAGACGGCAAATATGAATTGATGCGTATAGTTCATTAGGGCGCAGTAATATTTCAATAAGCAAATTAGTTTAATAATAAAAACACCATAAAATTTCTTTAATAAGATGTCACAAATAGGAAAGCTGCTTAGTCTTCAATACAGACTATGTTTGCATTTGTGTTCACAGCACTTGTATCATTTACCCTTTTTTCAATATTTAATAAAGAACAAGGATAAAATGATGCTAATTAAAACGCTATTGAGATGCTAAATAAAGCGCTAAAGTGAATGTAGCCGTAGCAGATATGATTTTCACTTTAGAATCGATAGATGATAACAATAATAGCACGCAAAAAGTATTAAGTATAGTAAAACGTAAGCAGTAAGAAAATCAATGTTTGATTTTCTACTGCTTACGTTATACACGTTATGGTCTTACGATTTTCACCGTGATTAGCCAATTATAGCTTACTGCTTTTTTTTTGGTATCCTATGGCTTTAATAGATAAAGTAATTTGTATAGAAACCATCGAAATAGAGATCGTTAGTAAGGTTAAAAGCACGTAACAAAAGGTCCATTCTTTATCAAAGAATTCTCTAAACTACTGCAACTACGTTTGTTTCACTTCAACTCATTGTACCGTTGTGCACCAGTTCAGAGAGTTTATCGATAAAGAACAGACCTAAAGTGTCAGCCGAGTGTGTCGCGCGTTTATGGAAAACAATTAAAAGTGTGTTGTGTGCATGTAAGGGGGTTACATACATTGTCATGGACTTTTCATCAATAACACAATAGTCGGCCGACACTTTGTCTATCGTGTACTTTTGTTATTATAACAGATATAAAAATTGTTCGGATGATAAAAAATAGTCGACACAATACGAACGACTATGAAATAAATCAAAATTAAAGATGTAAAAATAAAATATAGAGACTGAACATTGTGTGTCGAGTTAATATAACACGCAGTCAACGATAAAATCCTTTTCATTTTTCAACGATGTCATTTTACGTCATTAACGCACGCTTGATTGTCGCACGAATGACCGAGAGATGTACACACATCACGTACTTATCTAGACACGCGGATAACAATTCCCAGTGAGTCGATTATCGTTATCGCGCAATCCGTCGAAAGAAATCATCAAAGGCGAGGTCGATTAGGAAAGGTCGATTAGAACGAAATCTCCTTTTCGTTTACCCGTGACCCATATTGATCACGGCAATCGCCTTGTTCGAAACGTCTTTGTATGAAATTTACCTCGTATTGACAGTGCTCGGTGGTGCAGGTCTGTTACATGGGTCCTCGAGGTCGCATTGGCTCCGCAAAAAGACTTCGAGCAGCCCCATAAAGAGCATGAAGGACGGGCCACCGCATGTCGAGGCCAAAGTGGGTCCTGCGGACGTGGTCAACGGACAGTTGCAACTCATCTGGAACAGAAACATTAGTGTTTCATCAATCACGTAGTGATTCGACGTAAATCGGCTTGCTGCAACACCGAAAGGCTCACTGTAAGACAACAATTTACTTTGGCGGATCTGATTGAAACCGAGCTCGTTCTCGGTTCTTTCATACGACAGTAAATAACGTATGTCTGTATCGACGAGGAAAGGACTTTATCGAATCGTCGCGCGTTAATTCCAAGGAGAACGTATATTTTATTTGAGAACGTTTTTCTATAAGCCGCACACAACCGACTACAATAACCAACCGCAGAAATGCATGATCATTTAATTTACAGGTATTACTGTGATTACGTAAATTATGCGCGATAATCATACATATTCTTGTACCTCGAAGATATAACGGTAACTGTCATCGCATTTTGTTGTAACATGATTATGATGAGGTTAAAATGATAGTTTCTCTCGACAACAATTACCACGCCAATATTAACCGTGTTGATCAGGATTTTATATACGTGCAACATAATAATCTATATTTACGTATATAGAATATAAACTATGTTTTAGGTACAAATGTAAATAATGTAAGGATTATTGAAGATTATGTTCTTTATCGTTGTACTGATTATACATAATAATAAAGATAATACGAGCTATATAAATCAAGTTTTAGTTTTGAACTACATAAAATATTCAAGTCAAATATTAGGAGTATAAATAAGTTTCCGCCGTTTGACAAAAGATGGCGTCACCAGTATGTTATGGTTAAAATTGTCTGCTGTAAAGCGTCATATAGTAAGGTTGGACATCTGGCAACAACATAACCTTAAAATATTAGCGATTTTGTATCAGCATCATATATCTTTTTTCGTGTGAAAATGTCGAGTTTTTTTTTTAGCCGAATAAGCGTCATTTGCTGGAGCTTCTTTAATTTGAAGAAATCTGCAGCTGAGGCGCATCGATTGCTTGTAGAAGCATATGGTGAGGCTGCCTTAAGTGAGAGAAGTTGCCGTGAGTGGTTTCAAAAGTTTAAGAACGGTGAATTTGACGTCGAAGACAAAGAACGTAGTTTCGACATTTTTTGTTTTTTCGACGTGGAATCCACCAATTACCAGAAAAATGGGAAAAAGTAGTGGCTAGCGATGGACAATACTTCGAATAAAACAACATTAAGTATCGTTCTTTCACAATAAATTCCCAAATTTTGATGAAAAAACGGCGGAAACACTTATTTGTACACCTAATAATAATTTACATATTTTACATTATATATTGTCTACGTGTAAACAATTCGTGTAAATTAAACGTAAACAATACATAAATACTCCATGAAAACGCATTGTTGAAACATTATACAGATACAGCACAACCTGCTCTTAATTGCCCACTTGAGAGGTAAAGCGTGTGATCCGCGAAAGTAAAATTTTCATTCATCAAAGGAGCCGAGGCATCTATAACAATAAGCAATATCCCTTAACCAGTCATGCACCGATGCAATCCGACGAGAGCGCGTTTATCTTCGATCCGCTTCATCGTCGGCGGACCATGAAGCGAGCTCCGCTCCGTGGAGAACAAAAGCCCGAACGAGAGTGAGAGTGCGCATACCGACGTCGCCGTCATCGTCGCCGTCGTAACGAACGTGTAACAGCCTCGTAATAGAGTGTGTCCAGCTGCGAATTCATTCAGCTCGACGTTCGACCGGCGCGATTGAGAAGCGACTCCTCTTCGCGGGAGGCCTCGTCGCACGTGCTTTCTACACACAATGCAATCGTTCCGTCGCTCGGAATGCGCGCGTACTTGTACGCAGCGGTGAAACTTTTTTTTACACCGCTGTGTTTCCTCTTCCGACATTTCTCACAGTCGGATACATAATCGCGCGAGGCGTAACGCGCCGAATGTCTACCGCGAACCCGCGAGTGAAGCGTAACGATTGTATGTAGGGATTGCATTCACGCGACGCTTAAATTTTCGGTGAGAAAGCACGAGAGGTGTGGAAAAACAAAGAGAGCAGTGCGCCACACGTCTTCTCTTCTCATTGAAAAGGAAGGTGCTATACAGACCTCCAAGAGACATCCTGAAGGCATACAGAAGACGTTCTTCGTCCTATAAAACCGTAATCACACTAGGGATTGCGCGATTGTGATTGACGATTGAGGATCATTTCTCAACCAATCGGAACAAAGCAACCGGTGACTGCTTTGCTCCGATTGGTTGAGAAATAATCCTCAATCGTCAATCACAATCGCGCAATCGCTAGGGTGATTACGGCTGAAGGATGTTTCCAAAACGTTCCACGGATAAAGTGTGTTGTATGAGAAAGGTTTAGATACCAAGGTCAACATATTTGTAAATGATTTTTATAAATAATATTTATTATATATTTCAAAGATACGTGGATTATTTTTTTCAATTTCTAGATATATTCGGAGAATTCCCACAAATTTTCAAATTCGCTAAAAAGAAAGATAAAGCTACTAAACTTTTTTAATTAACAGATTAGTAAATTTTACGTCGAAAATCTGTTATCAGTTCAATGGATTTTCAACGGAGATTAAGGATAGATCTATAATAAGAGACGGCTTTTTTTTTATCAACGAAATTACATCCGACAGGTTGTATCGCACGGATGTACCTGACACAACACGGTGAGGAGGTAAGAAAACAGAAGGAGAAGCTGTAAAATAGCATGACTTTCGTAATCGACGGCGAGACAGTGTGCGGTTCTCGGTCAGTGAACGTAACGGTGTTGAGACTTTGCGAAGGAGCGTATGCGCTCGAGGGACGTATGGCTTCGGACTCCTGCGATTACGTGCTAAAGTACCATAAAGTACCATAATGTACTTGGAGCCACGCTGAATGTAATAAACAAAGCTCGACGATCGCAGGGCAGGAAATTAGCTCGTCTTATTTGTATATTCTATCAAAAATAATAGTGTAATATAATAACAATGATTCAGTGTGAAATATTAGAAGTTTGAAAATGTCGGAAATGTTGATGATTTGTATAAATTATGGTATATGATAATTAATAATATTACTGAATTACCTATTCGCGATTTGTATTAAATGATTTAAACGCAATCTAATTTTATAATACTTATTTAAAATTAATTTTATGACATTTTTTTTTATTTAAATTTCAGCACAGAATATCAATTGTAAAATAAAAATCGAGTGATATATTTTTGTTAACTATTATATTTACACCACTTTCAAAACAGAACACGTCTGTTTATTATTAGATTATTCTTATTTTATACACTCGACATTAATGCGCTTCCTGATTAATTAACGCACCGTCCATGTCCCCTTCCTCCCCCGCTGGATATAATCTTTCGCACAAAATGGAAAATCATGAATAAACAAAGTAATTTTCGATCGTTTAGAGTAATGGAAGTATAATTTTGCTCAATTTTTTGCCATTATCTTACACGCGTGTGTGCGTTTGTGGCGCGTATGAGCATCAACGGGCCATTGAGAAATCGCTTACTCATAATCCTAGTAATTCAAAAGAACGCATCTCGCTTCCCATTTTACGCAAATTATCGCAATATGTAAATTTAACGTATACGATAACGAAACAAGTCTTTCCTCTTCCTAAAGAATTTCCATCGCATCTTATGACATTTGGATATAATTAGCCAACATTTTCTTTTAATGTATTTTCAAGAGATTTAAAAATAATTTTTACCTGCGAATGTATAGTAGATGACAAAATTGTATAATGTGTTTATCTTCAAGTTCTACAAAATTTTTACTATTTCACTTGTGAAATAAAGGCAAGAAAATTAAATCGCGCAATTTATTATGATTTGTACACCCATTGATTTCTTGACTAAGCGAGATTACTCTGATCTCGCGTGAACGTTAACTGACGGTTTGCATTTTTTTAATTGTTATTCGTGCATTGTTGTCCAATGTGTGTTACACGTAACGTACAATCAATCGCGTAACAGTTTGGCCGGTGTAATGATTGTTCGCACGAGAGTCTGAGAGGGTGTTAATTGGAATTTATGTAACTTAAAAATGCTTAACGTCGGCGTTAACAACACCGCGGTTGCCACAAAGAGAGTATAATTTCCCGCAAATTACTATATATGCTCTTGATTCTCGAGCGTGAAAATGTGGATATTACACGCCACGTTACATATTTCCTGGCGTGATTTTTCATGTCAATTTCATCGATTTTTCTATATTCGCCTTATTATACACGTATCCAGTTCCGACGAATATCTCCGATGTGGCAGCTATTTGAAATATTTGATTACAATGTTATGCAACGCGCGTTACGCGCGTAAGACAATCTGAACGTACGACTCTTCTGAATATAATCTTAATTTTTATATAATTACAGGATATTTGATAATGGCAAATTTCACTGTGATCAATGTGATTAAGACTTATTCTCTCCTATATACGGCGGCTCTTCTATATATCTGCCTAATTGCTTTTTAATGAACACAGCCGAGCCAAACTACCAGGCAAATATATTAAACACAATTGTGTCATACGTGCTTCGTAATTTTCATGAACTTCAAGATTTACGATTTTAGTGGAAAAATTACCGTGTCTACGACAAACCATTATCAGTTTCTTTATAATTACATACAATCACACTTCAGAAAATAAGGCGCGATTATGATATAATCTTAAAACTTTATATAACTTTAATTTTGATAAATGCTGAAGAATCGTCACGTTTCGTGTATGTCTCTCACGTGATTGACTCGATATGATCTTTAAACACGCATATATATCTCTCAAGGACTCGCGAGTAGATGTCGTGCCCTATCGGTAGACTTGAAAGACGAATTATGCATATTCGACGAGAAGAAGTCACCGTATACGTTGATACGGTGGTGATTATGCGTTTCAAGGGAGAAATACGTCCAACGACGTTTAATGCCAAGGTACACGATTATTAGATAGCGAATTAATCCTGCATATACTTATCATTGCGTTTATTTAATAAGTAATTAGCTATATTATACAGAGAGACACACATAATTTCTAGCTGCAAAAATGCATCGAGCGTATAATACATATATCAGAGACAAGAAGACGATGAGGCACAGAAACGCCTTTCACTCATTTACCTGTCAGATATGTAAATACACGCACTTATCCATATATTTATAAATACACGTATTTTTATATATATATGAGACATTACGTACGATGTTTCTTTCTTTAGTTGATAGATGTTTATCAATTAATCCGTTAACATTAAAATTTCATACTTCTCGTATGTGCACAGAAATAATTATACAGTCGTTAGAATTTGTAACGAGCATTACTGGGAAAAGTGTATCTCAGTTTGATATAATTTATAATATTTTATTTTATAGACTAATTCTATATAAAACAATCAAAATTAATTAAATTATTAAGATTAAATAGGAATTAATTAATTTAGAGTAACTAATTTCTTGTTCTTTTTTTTTTTTTTCTTTCTTTTCTGCGAGACAATATTCATACGTTTTACTTTCCGATGTGAGAGACAATAATTTGACCATGGCTTCTCGTTTTATTATTATAATTAATATTGTCAATGTATATTATATCATAGGAGATTGAAAAGGACTTTGCATAAGTCGAAATGTTTCTCGTTTTTAATTTTATTTTATTCAATATATATATATTGTCAACTTTTTAATTATATTTTATGAATTTCAACAAATATTGTCAACTCTTACTTCTGCTTGTTTTTATACCGTTTATGTAATATCATAAATTTTTTGTTTCTTTCTTTTCTTTTTAATAATATAATAAAAAATATAAATAAATTCATTAAAAATATATTATTCATTGATAATAGTTTATGTTATATTTCACGAACATGGAAATTACAGGTCGCATCAACCGCCTTTTGGTTTTACTGTCACGAATAAAGAGATACAGAAATCATCTCTCGGCATATCTCGACTCGCCAAAATTACACCGGTTTCAAGGTCTGGTAAGTTCTCCATACCGAGATCGGCGTAAAGAAGAAAAGGGGCAAAGAACTCACCTTTCAAGGATGGTCACCCCGTATCCTTCGAAAGATAATTGCTCGACTGGAGCAACCCGCAGCGCACAGAGCGCGGAAAAGACGCACGAGAGAGTAAACGTAGTTCGCGGTACCGCGATCAACAGCCGACTAGACCGGTACCATTCCCCATCGCCGTGGTAATATTCGACAACTTCCACCACTTTCCTACCTTCTCTCCTCTGCTTCGCACTCGCAAGAACAGTTTCGGGAATTTACGTGATGCGACTAGTTAGCATCACAAAGAAATTTCGCGATGATGCGCCGATGGAGAGACCCGGCAGGCACTAATTAAATTATCGCGGATGCTTCCGAAGATCTCTTAATGACGATGTTCTGTGCGTAATACAGAAAGTCATCATTAATCGTTGACTGTTGATTGAATTATCACGTTCTAAGGACATTTATTTAATATCTCATCCTAATAATATATATAAATATTAGAATCTTTTTAAGACCGCAAATGATAAACAGCAACAAGAAGAAGGAAGCCAATGACGGTCAAAGCTGGATCACGATGCTTATTATAATTATGTGTGAATTTTATATACTGCGTATGTAGTACCCCCCATCAAATTGAATCATTATTAAGGAATAAGTATTATAGTAAATCGAAAGAGAGAATTTCTTAATTGAATTCTTAATTGAAAAAATCGAACGGAAGATAAGCTAAGAACAATATAATACGTTTGGTTATCTCATATGATATTATCTAAGCGTGAAGAGAAACGATATTCGTGAGGGATAAATTCATTTTCCGCAGACATACTCACACACACGTCGCCTCTGACACCGTTCTCCAAAGTACGCGAAATACTGCAATTTCTCGCTGCCATTGTATATTTGCTTACTCTACCCCCGGGCTAATGATCGCGGAAGCATTTACAAACGAACGATTTCGTTTCTAAAATCACGCTATGGAAAGGAAAAGGAAAGGTGACGACAAGGAGGTGATAAAAAAACACCCATAAATTTTACACTCGAGCAGAAAGGTATTGTTTCCCATCACGATTCCGTCATTTCGATGCTTGCCGATGTTGTCATGGTTCTCGTGACTGAAGTATTCGCCGTACACTTAGTTGCTCGGTTTCTCATATTATTGTTACAATGAGGTGATGTCTCATAGCTAGGAAAGCGTAGGAGGAGCATCACCGAATTGTTCATTGCCGATTAATTCGTCGAGAAGAAACGTGATCAGCATATCGCGCCGAACCGAAATTCGGAACCGGTTTCACGAGTCATCTAGAATAAGATAAAAATATCGAGACATCGTTCGCGAGCCGCATATACCTGTATTTCCTTCCCCGTTCCAACGAAACGTTCGAGATCTACCTTAAGGAAGATCCTCCGTATTCGCGACTCGATTTACCAACGTGGAGAACGGATATATCGTGTCATAAGGGTAATTTGCAAGACCGTGGAATTTCTCGTCCCGCGAGTGTTGCACGTAATCACTTTGCCTTGTTGAAGCAGGTGGACTGAATGTCGCAATACTTTTATTGCGCCTATCTACGTATATCGTATTTCAGAGACTCGACTCCTCTTCTCGTCCGTAATTTGGCGTCTCGCGGACGTTTCTGTGTCGGGCAACGTTTCTATCTGTAAATATCAATAATACGTTGCAATGAAGCCAGACATTATAATTATATGAGTATGCTACAGATTTCTTCCATTTTATTTTAAGTAAATTAAATCTGTGCTTTTTCGCGGCATCGCAGAGCTTTTATAATTTTTTGTATACAATATTGTTTTATTTCCTTGCGTTTATATTGTTATTACTTTGTTTTAACATTATGCGATTTAGCAAAATTTTAGAGAATCATTTTTACACAAATTATCAATTGCGACATCAGCGACGTTTGATTCTTGTTCGCGGCTTGATCGGGGCTCATTCCGTTCCAGATAATCATGAAACCACGGTCGCCACTCGTAGTCCTGTACGGTTTGAATGTGATGGAATAGACAATTGCCATACCAATTCTATCCGCTGAAAGTACACGAGGACACAAATGTCTAGCTGTGCCTTTTCAGTCCTCACGTGCCTTCTTCTCATTCCTTCTTATATTGTACCTTCTTCGATACGCACGCAACTTTCGGATAGCTAGGCCTTTATGTTCCTTGTACAAACGTCTGAAAGATAATCCTTTGAAGTGTACTCACGTCATAGTTATCCAGTTTTTCTTTGTCACGAATATTTAGCGAAGCAGTGCTTGTTTCTTCCGTCATCGGGAAACTCCTATGATCGTTGGGCGATTCATCGGTATGATTCGTCTTGATGTTTTCTTGCTTGGCAATTGTAGAACTATTTGTATAATCAACAGTCTTATCTGCAATCGTCGAAGTACTATCCGTCCTCGAATTTCCAATATCTAAAGTATAGTAAAATTTATGTAAAAGTCCGTTTTTTATTGCTGCAAATAAACGTATATTTATTTCACTTCAATTTATTAAATTCGGAGAGTGCAGCAATAAAGAACAGAGTTGAAGAATTAAAAAAGATATATAAATACCTTATTTAAATTCCAGTAAATTTAAATCGTAAAAAAATTAAATATTTAATTATGCAGAATATAAAATATTCAGGTATTGACTTTTAAATTAGTAATTACATTAATTAATATAATCTATTACCAAAGATCTTTTTGTAAACTGAACTCTAGCTAATAAATATTCTTTAATTAATTTCAAGTATATTTATAACACAATTTAAATTTAAACTTTAATCAAATAAAGATAGGCAACGTTAGAAGTAGAAAAATTGCAAAAAAAAATGATTTATCTCTTTGAGAACTTTCGCGTAAGAAAAATCAACTCTAAATTGTACCTCACGAATTTAAAGGATTTTATGGCTGTACATTTAATATTTCTCTCAATTCAAATTCTTAAGTTTCTGCGACGTTAATCGTTGATCAGAACATATAATTCCAACTAACGTAAATACCTGCAGGTGTTATTTCTGGCAAAGGTATAGAAGCCGCTTCGTTAAAAAGGTCAGTGAAGAATGCGTCAGTGAAGAACGGTAGAAATTGTCCTCGTTTCCCCATATCTTCAACAAGGATCACCGGCTCATATGGCGGCAATAAAATCTTGTACGGTTCTTGTGGCGCGTGATATCTCCATCCATCTTCGTCCTTCGCTTCCCACGAACGATACGGATCATTTTTTATCCAGATCGGATAACCTTGGTCAAAGAAGTTAATGTCCTTTAATATCATGGGAAGGGGGAACTCGTCATTGGTTGTAATGTAGATCTTCCTTGGTGTTTCTAATTTATCTGTATCATACGATATAGTTGGCTCGGTCTTCCCATCAGCGAGTTCAGTTGCCGGAGAACTTGAACCCTTAATTACAGAATTTAGGAGTGATATATTTCTATAACATTTACAATATGTTGATCGCTGAAATGATCTGTATTGTATAGGTTTATCCTACCTGGAAAACCTTGCCATCATTGATGGCAACGGGTTTATCGTAATTCAATCGAAAACGAGGATAAGGCAATGTCGAATGTTCATTCGTTGATGACTCTGTGATTAAATTTGATTTCATCGTTGTGATTTGCTGATGAGACAACGAAACTTCTGTCCCTTGTTTTCTATATAAAGAAACGCATGTAAGATGTAACAGAAAAGTATTTGCATTTAATTTAGATTGCAGAATAATCATCTTTAAAATACTATTTAATATTAATGGAAAATTCTTAATTTACGTAGAGGTTGTATAGTGAATAGTTTGTCTCCGCGTTGAAGTCACTGGTACAGTTGACTGAAATTATAATCGAGTCTTTCAATTTCGAAACTAAATTTTCTTGCGATCTTTAACTGATTCATATAAGAAAATCCGTCACCTGTTTGCTTATGATCGGATAATTCGTTCTTTTCTGTAGCTCCTGTTGAATCAATTCCCTCTCGGCTTGCATCAAGGTTCTTCTGGTTGTGGATTGCTTAGAGACCTACATTTGTTTCTGTCAGAGTCTTTCTAGTCTATGTTTAGTAAACTCGCGAATTTATTTCGATGAAAAAGTCATTGAATACAAGATAAAAATAAGTTAATTTGATTATATAAAAATAACATAAATATAAATATATATATTTTTTCCTACATCTATATTCGTGAGTTTTCTTGAAAAATTTGTTGTTTAGAATTAGCAATAAATTTTATACAATTTATAACGTCTTTTTAAGAAAAGACGAGATACCTCGTTATTAGTCGTATTGCGTGTGGTGGACGAAACTGAAGATGCACGACATGATCGCTCGATTGTACAATTAAAACCCTTACATGAATCTACAATTCGCACTACGCATTTTTGCGATCGTGGGCAGATCCAACCGTAGCAATATTTACTGATTAGCTCATCTTCTACGAAAAGAATTATATCGAGTCATTATTGTCGCAAATGCTTGAGTACATAGTTTTATTATTTTGTCATCAACGAACCGACGGTGAGCGTACAATCGGGCGTATGTGTACACCACTGATCGCGACAATTGTTTTCTGGCCTTCGCAAGAAACACTCATATTCGGAGGCGCAGTTCAAACTTCTGCATTTGTCGAACCAAGTTTGTATATCTGAAAATAATGACGATTTATTTTCACTATGACTACAGATTTAACAATTTTCTAACAGGTATTTTAAGTTGGGTGTATATGTGTATCTCAAAAAATATATGGGGCATTCCACGCCAAGTGAGCCACTCAAAAACTTTTGGATTTTTTATTTTTGACTGAAATTTTGATATATTATAGTACTCATCGCAAGAAGCTACCATGATTTTTTTGATATTTTTTTATCAACATAGTCATGATATAGAGATATGAATTTTTTTAAAAACTCGCATTTTTCAAAATTCGCAATTTTCAAATGCCTATAAACTTTGCGAAAAATAATCCAAATAAAACGCTTTTTTTTTTTAAATTGTGTGTTTTTTCTCTAGTTTTCAAAAAAAATATCAAAAAAAGTTTTAAAATTGTTTTTTAATTTTTTTTTTAATTTAATGTAAAAAATTATTAATTTTTTAAAGTATGACACGTTTAATTTTTTTTTTAAATTCTCATAAAAACTTAGATTTATTTGATGATTTTTAAGACTAATTTGATCGTGGGCAAATTTTTCCTTCTATTTTTTTTCGAATTAATTTTTTTTTAATTTTGCATTTTTTTACACGATAAAATAATACAGGTATAAGCTCATGACTTTTTCATTTCCTAAAATTTTTGGTTCATTTTCAATGTAATAATTTATTTTTTTTATATTTACCTATTTAAAAAAAAGTGTTTCTGTGATTGATATTACTTTTATACTAAAATTATCGTTTTCTTATTATAAATTTTTTTACAATATAATTTTGCATTTTTATAAATTGTTATTATTGTCCAATCTTATTTGTAAGAGAACGGCTACACTTCTGCATGCAAGAATTAAGCTTGCATGTGCAATTACAATTACTTTAATCCAAAAGTTTTCGAGTGGCTCACTTGACAATTAAAATTTAATATCAATTAATAACACTGGTTTATATATGTAAAGTTAGATGCAAGAACATATTCGATCTAATGGAATTTTTCTGATGACAGATTCATTGCTCGAAAAGATGTTTAAGAAAGTTATGTTCTTTTTTTGCATTAAAAATTATTCAAAATTTGTAAGCGTAATAATAATTTTAAATATGTAATATATATAAATATATTTAAACAGTTTCAAATACGTAAAATATTATGAAAATGTAAAAAGGATGAGAATTAAATAAATGATTGGTTTGCTTGATGTAACCTTCCTCATCTTCGCAACTTCTGATAAGTTTGCAGGGTGGATTAACGCATAAAATTTCTCGCAAGATGCAACGTTTTCCCGATGGACATTCGAAACCGGCGCAGGAAGCTGCACCCTCGTAATATTCTTTTTCCGATATACAGCGCGCCAATTGCTGCTTACACTCTGAGAACATTTTGAAAATCTATATATTATCTGCAATTTTCAAAAATATAATTAATTCGTTAATATGCAATAATTACTTCTATCCCAATGGCATCCTTGAACTTTAATAATGCACATGTGTCGTCGGTTGCAACGAACAGTGTCACAATTTAGAGGTCCCTTCAACGATTCTAAAAATAAGCAGATTAAAAAAAATCTACATTTACAATATATAATATTGCTTAACAGGGAGAGGATATATTTTAAATTAATTAAATTAAATATAAAAAAAATATAAAGAAATATAGAAGAAATCATAAGAAATTGAAGTATCTAATAAAGTTTTTTACAATAAACCATCTAAGTTTTAAGTCTAGAGCCATAAAAACTTCTTATGTCTCTAGACTTAAAACATAGATAGTTTATTGTAATTCTTATGACTTTAGATAATAGCTCATTGTAGAAAGCTCATAAAACAGACAAATTTCTATCTGACAGAAAAGAAAGCTATCTATCTTCTTGAACTTCACCTCTTCTCGATTTCGAACAATACAACATGCCAGGGCAAGGAGGATCCTTGCACCAAAATCTTCGTTTTACGCAACGGCTACCATTCTCACAATGTAGATGAGCGCATCCCTTCGAATAATCGTTTCCTGATTCTGTCGCAAATTATCGTAATTTTTTTTGGAAAAGTAAAGTATAAAATATGAAGTTTCATAGAATTTTGAATTAAACTTACCGCTCGCAAAAAGTCTTTCGGAAAGCAGAAAGAAAAAATGCCACATTAAGATACAAATGTATTCCCGCCGCATGACGACTACGCCGATAGCACTCGCTTATTTCAATTGCGATGGTGCACCTGTGCCGATACAGCTATAGACCGTAATAGCGTGTAATGTAAGCGCGAGTGTAACAAGAGCCACCGCATAGAAAAGCGTATTGTCAATACAGCAGTTGTCGCTAACGTTACGCCTTGTTGAACAAGTCTATTGTCAAGTTACACGTACCAAAGGAGAGACTTGAAACACGAACGTCCAATAAATCTTGTTTTACTTTTTGCATATTCATTTTTGATAAACAGATACGCTTGGGACTCGTTAACTAGAAGAGACTGACGAATCAATACCGAACAATGAAACTTAATTTGAATGTTTTATCTCACACCAGTATAGTAAGTTAAAATCCTGGTTTTGTATTTGAAAAAAAACAAAAATTTTTTATTGACTTATTTTTGATTGTTCAGACAATTTTGCAATATTTACTACATTCTCTATATCAATCTTAACGCTGTCACGATGAAATAGTTATTAGATTTTATATCACGATACTAAATATGTAATTTTTATCGTTGGACATGGTGTGTTTCTTATACCTCTAACGTAAGAAATTATCATATGCGAGAAGAATATCTTATCTGATTTATTAACTTGGCCTCTCGTTGCTACTTTATAACTTATAGAGGAGAATGTCCTAAATCGGACCTTTTTAATTTAAATAAATACGGTTAAGCAGATTTGCTTGCTATTTATAATGTAAAGTCTTTATAAGACACCGAACATGTGGCAGTTTGGCAGTACTTTGTCATAACGTTCATAAAATAAACACAAAATATGTATTTTCAGCTATTATGTGAAAATTTTTTTAAAAAAGGAAATCCTTGTAAATCATTATTTAAAAGATGTTAAAAATTTAAACGGTAATTGATTTAAGAGATAATTAAAGAGTGTAGAATTCAAAAATATCAAGAGTTTTGTGATTACTTTTGAGGTTTATTGTACAATTTGTTCCAATAGTTTGAAAGAATCTGTGTCCAAATCTGACCTACATACAAAAAACACTAAAAAGACGAGTAAGCCAATTAATTCATGGAAGAAAGGAGGTTTGCCACAACCTGGTTGTGGTACAGGTGATCGATCGACCAGATCTCGTCTAAGGAACACTAAATCAATAAAATATCATGTGTCATCAGACTCAGATTGATGGAATCTTTATTGATTTTAATTCTAATAATATAAACTGTATTTTTATCTTTCAGTCTTAAATTGCTCGTTTTTATTAAATACTAACAAAAATTAATTAAGATATTTTAAAATTCTATCTAAAAGTCCATAAAAATCGGAAGATGCATTTTTACATTTTCTATTATAATTCGACACAGGTAAGAGATACGTCAAAATAGTCTCAAACAAAAATGAAGGAAATTAAATGATCTTTCGAACGTCACCATTAGTTTTATGATCGGACTTTATTTATGCCTTATAGAGAACAAAAACTGCAAATAGGTCCGATTTAGACCACTCTCCCCTAGTTTATAATGTAGAATTTGAAGTTTCAATTTATGTTAACCGATGAAGACTCTGTGAGCCGAAACGTTTTATATATTATATTATATTTATGATTTTATTGATTAATTAAAACTGTTTTGATTATTTTTTTAAATATTCTATTTCGTTTTTAGTCGTTTTAAATTTTAATATTTTTAATAAACTTAGGCATTTAGAGAGCATAAATTCCCGTTGCTATCTCTTCGCGGATCTCTTGTAAAATTTTAAATACCTATACTGCACGAAAATTTGCTTTTTTCATGACACGAATGTTATTTTATCATATTAAATTTATTAAAGAAACAAGATACGAAGTCTGATCATGTAACAAAACACACTGTGCTTTGACTTGTTAGTCAGTATATGTCAAAACAATGTTTCACATAATTATTAAGCAATAATAAGAGATAATAATAAATTTATGATTCAATCTTCTAAATATTTTTAGAGATTAATAAGAACGCATAAGAATAATTAACGATATCTTATCAAAGATAAATTTTTAAGAAATTTATCTATATATCTAATCTAATCTATAATATAATCTGTAAAATATTGTATTTAAAACGAAAATATCATAGAAACATTTTAAGTATCTATTGTTTATTAAAAGATAAATCTATTTAGTGGCTTAAAAATACAAAGTAAAAAGTCGAGCATTTGCCACGCACTGGATGGTGTTTGTGAAAATTATATATATTCTTTAATTAAAAATACAAAATAGACGTTTCGACCCTAAATATGGTCATCTTCAGTATATACATTTAAATAAAGTAAAAGAAAGACAAAAGATTAAAATTTAAGTACGTCCAATAATTATTTTTACAATTGTCGGAAACGTATAACGCATGTCAAATTATTATCTTAATTGTAATTTCGATAGTTCAAGTTATTTTACAGTTGCGAAACCTTGTATTAGTTGTATCCGTCATAGTGTGTAATGTCCGTTTTTTTACGAATATAGTTCCCTGACTGTGAGACTTTATTTAAATGTATATACTGAAGATGACTACCATATTTAGGGTCGAAACTATTTTGTATTTTTAATTAAAGAATATATATAATTTTCACAAACACCACCCAGTGCGTGGCAAATGCTCGACCTTTTATTTTGCTATTGTTTATTATTATATTAGGTGCATTGTTTTTTAAAAGATACTTCACACTGTTTGTTTTTGTTTACGTTCACGCGATCAATATTGTACTATGTGACTCAGTTCGTGTATGTACATAAGCTTACGATCGATAACCATCTAAGCATCTTTTTATTTCACCTTCTATAAAAGTCTTATGTTACCATTTTCTCAAATGCATTTAAATTGTTGTAGTCTTTGTCGGAAAGATGGCAAATAAATTAATATCTATTATTTAAAACAAAACGATGCTTTATTTATACGCGAATCTTGATTGATACACCCGCATGTTATTTTTCTGCTTCAACATAATCAATTTATATTTAATTAAATGTTGTTAACATAGATAAAGTATTATAATTTTCTATATAATTTCAGTTTTAAAAAATTTGCATTAAATTTAAAACATTCTTAAACTTAACGATGTAAAATCTCAGCTTACATACTTATCATCTGAAGGTATCACACGCTTGATTTTATCGCAATATTACGGCATACATCAACAATATATAGTTTACAAATGAAAGTTATATATATAATATATATTTGTATACACACATAATACATAATTAGATTTCTAATATAAAATTACTGTTATAAGTCTTGTAAAATTATATCAAAACGTAATTTTTAGTATTAAAAAGTTTCTTTGCTTATCGCTACAAAGAATCGACGACAGCCTCGTTTTTACATGGAAATTTGTCTATGTGTTGTTTAACTGCAAATTAATTTTCTTTTGTCGCTCTTCTATCCACGTTTTTCAATTGCAGCTGCAACAGTCCGGCGAGCGCGCTGGTGAAACCAGCGTTGTAGTCCAGCGTGACTTCTGTATAGGCGTACTCCTCGCGACAATCTTTAAACGAGTCCACCTCGTCAGGTCCGGAGACTAGAGCACCATAAAGAATCTGCGGATTCGGAGCATTTTTGCTAAATTCCTGCCATCCGCAGGGTGTCGGTCTATTGGGGCAAGAAGAGGCAGCATGATGCGGCTGTTTCGGTGAATTTTTACCGTATCCGACCACGTAACTCCTTCCTAAAAAATGCCAAAGTTCAATAATAAAAATAAAAAAAATAAAGACAAACTCTCAAACTTCAGAAATGGCAAAAAATGACAAAAATTTATTATCATTATTGTGCATTTATTGACTGCCAGATATTTAGATTTTATTTATATTTAACAAGGAAAATTTTTAACTAGTGGTATAATTAATAATAAATAATAATGTGAAAAATAATTGAGAAATAGAAATTCCATGAATAAAATAAGCCGTCGCAGCTAGGTGTACAAATTAGTTCGGTCCGTTTTTTGTGTTCAAAAATGCATTTATTTCAAAACAAAATGAATGAACAGTTTAATAAAAGTATTGTCCATCACTGGCTACTACTTTTTCCCATCTCTCAGGCAATTTTCGAATTCCATCTCGAAAAAATGACTCGTCTTTAGAGGCGATCATTTTTTGGGAAACGGACCGGACTAATTTGTACTCCTATATTTTTAACTCAGGTCTTACCAGCTCCACCCAGCATGTAATCAATTTGCTCTTTTGCGAATTGGCGATATTCCTGCGGTTCGCCGATTTCTGGGGAGTCTGCCGCTACGAGGCAGACGAAGGCTACGTTAGCAGCATGAGAAAGAGTACCGGACTTATCAATAAATAGAAGACCTTTCGATGTACGTTTCTGCTGCCGCACTGAGAAGTCGCAGAACGCGCGGCTGGCATTTTGATACTCAGACTGTCCTGTCAATTCGGCCAATAGTATCTACGAAAAGTGAGAAAAAGTATATTTCAGTTGAAAATATCAGAAAAAGAACAAGATACTTTTTCGTCTCTCTTTCTTCTCAATATCATCTCTTTAGCTTCCTACACAATTTCTTTGTAACTCTAGTTTTAATATTATATCATCCAATTCTCGTTTTTTTCTTTCTTTTCTCCTAATTTATTGAATCTACCTCCAATCTCTTCTCAGATTCTTTTTTTAGTGTTTTCTACGAGGATAGTTTGATAAGTCCATGCAAAGTCTAAAATGTAGCAGTACGTATCGAGATAATTTTTAGTATTCAGCAACTCTTAAAGGATTGCACACTAAGGCTGCATTCGGAAAGCGCGCTATCAGCGCTATTTGTGTCGTACTGTCCTTGTTTCACGTCTAACAGACGATGAAGATAGAATAACACAAATAGCGTTAATAGCGTCTCCCCGAATATGCAACCCAAATTTCAATGACATACATCTATTATTTTGTGTTTGGCGTTTATTTGAATACTAAAAATAATCTCGATACGCACTGGTGGTGCTATATTTTAGACTTTGAATGGATTTATCAAACTATCCTCGTTTATTA